ATTGCCACCTCCTGTCCTTTTCTCCTAGAGATTCTAAAGAGGTAGTCGAGTGTGGGTAAGTCAGTGAGCCGTGGGTTCAGATCCCAGTCCTGATGTGGAGTAGCCACGGGATGGGGTGAGGCGCTTCTCTTCAGGCCTCTGATCTTCATCTAAGGTGATGCTCAGCAGAGCACTGGTTTCTGTGTCCAGTTTCCAAAACCCCTGCACCTGGGTGTGCACTGGAAATCAGAAGCTCCAGGTTTCAGGGAGATACCCCACAACTTATACGGGGCAGCACCCCATAAAAGCACAGGACTATTTCTGCAGTGAAGCTAGAAATGATTGCTCATCTACTTGGTATAGACGTAAACCCTAAATTGTGATGTAACAGCTCAGAGCGGGCTTTGCTGGCAAATGAGTCTAAGGGCAGGTTTTGTTACCAAACGAATTAACCAAAAGATTAGGTTTTTCAGAGCTGTTTCGATTCTAAAACTACAGAAGACATCCCAAACCCTGTAAGATTGTTTTAAAGATTGTAAGATTGTTTTAAAGTGCTTTGCACAACATCTGGCACAGGATACGCCCTAAATAAGTGGTAGCAAATGTCACCGTACCTCAGGGCTCCTTCCCAGGCTCTGCCCCTCTGTGTGGCCTGGTGCCCTTGCGAGCAGACCCCCAGCGAGCCGGCCTATGGTTCCGGCCCTCATCTCAGGGGCACATGGAGGCTTGGCACCTCCTACCACAGGCTCTGGCCAAACTCCACGTCCTTGGCAGGCACGATGCTTCCGACATTGCCAGCTGGCCCTGGCGCCAGGGGCCTTGCAGCGTTCACTGCAACGCCCGGGTCGGCACCCCCTGCGGCTGCACCAGGGAGCTCACTGTGGCCGTTTCTGTTCTTTGCCATCACTCAGACCGAGAAACCAGCCAACCAGAAGGAACGCACCACCACCCACACCGTGAAGCTGCGGGGAGCCCCATTCAACGTCACAGAGGTACGCGCCAGTAACGGGACGGGGTGAGGAGCCCCCGGGGAGCGGGCGACAAGGGTGAGGGTCCCAGGAGCCTCTGCTGCACGGGAGCTTCAGGATCAGTTGAAGACTTCAGCTGGAGGGAACTGGGGGCCAGAAAGACTGATACGTAGGATCTTGGGCATCGTCAAGGTCGGGAAACAGGGCCGGCTATATTGAGACCAAGAAGGACTGGTCTCACTCACCAGTCATCTATGCTAGGGGTGGGCCTACTTCTGCTAAAAAATTTAAAAAGGACCAGCTAGTAAATTACTCAAGGCTTTGTGATCAGTATGGTCTCTGTTACGACTACTCAACCCTGCTTTCGTAGCACGGAGGCAGCCCGAGGTGAGAGGTGGCCAAATAGGCCTGGCTGTGTGCCAATGAAACTTTATTTACAGAAGCAGGCAGTGGGCCACGTTTGGCCTGCCTGCTGTAGTTTGCTGACTCTGGGTCTACGCAGGAGAGAACACTTTGTCAATTTCCCTCCTCATGAAAGTAGTATTAGTTCAGCATAGGAAATGTTTTTTAATGTTGCGAAATAACAAGAAGTAAAAATTACCTATCACTCTACAAATTGCCAACCAAACTGTGTTGAGAGAGAAGTGCTAACCAGATGGGGTACCAGGATGCAGAGCTAATTACCTACAGGTCTGATTACTATAGGAAAAAAGACTGTCCCAGGCAAACTGGAGCAAGCTCCCCTCAATCCCCCACATCTATATCCCATACACTGACAACCAGTAATAAATTCTGAGTATATCTTCTTAGACATCTTTTTCATTGTATAGAAACGTTGATCTGTGTTTTTCTTTTTTTTTTTTAATTAATTATTTAAATTATCTTTGGTTGCGTTGGGTCTTCATTACTGCGCCTGGGCTTTCTCTAGTTGCGGTGAGAGAGGGCTACTGTTCGTGGCGGTGCGTGAGCTTCTAATTGCAGTGGCTTCTCGTTGTGGAGCACGGGCTCTAGGCACGTGGACTTCAGTAGTTGTGGCACGTGGGCTCAGTAGTCATGACTCGCGGGCTCTAGAGCACAGGCTCAGTAGTTGTAGTGCACAGGCTTAGGTGCTCCGCGGCATGTGGGATCTTCCCGGACCAGGGCTTGACCTGTGTCCCCTACGTTGGCAGGCAGATTCTTAATCACTGCACCAACAGGGAAGTCCTGTGTCTTTTCTTTTTTTTTTTTTTTTTTTTTTTTTTTTTTTTTTGTGGAGCACAGGCTCCGGCCGCGCAGGCCCAGCGGCCATGGCTCACGGGCCCAGCCGCTCCGCGGCATGTGGGATCCTCCCGAAACGGGGCACGAACCCGCGTCTCCTGCGTCGGCAGGCGGACTCTCAAGCACTGCGCCACCAGGGAAGCCCCCTGTGTCTTTTCTTTTTAAAAAGCAATCCTACAGTAGGAACTATTTTGAAGCTCTTTTCCTCTCTCATCACATTATGCCATAAATGTCTTTGAATGTTGAATTTTCTGCTACGGCGTCATTTTTCACGTTGCATGCTATTCTCTACTCTGGACACACTGTGTTACGCTCACCCAACCTCCTAAACTGAGACATGGGGATTGTTTCTAGTCTTCTGCTGATTTGAATAATAATGCAGTCAGCGCATTTCTTGAGATCGGAGGTCAACAGATGTTTTTCTATCAACGTCATTTAGTGCATATTTTAGGCTTTGTGAGCTATATGGGCTATTGCACTTTTTTTTTTTTTTTTTGATAATCCTTGGAAAATGTAAAAACTATTAGCTTGCAGGCCGTGGGCAATATTTGGCCTGTGGGCTATCGTTTGCCAACCCTTGCTCCAGATAAGTACTGTATACAAGCACATGCATGTATTCAGTACATTTTTAAGTCTTTGATACAGAGTGCCAGTTGCCCTCTGGAAGCCTGGCCAGTTTATACTCCCTTAGCAGAGAATGAGAGTGCACATTTTTGTGAACGCTGGGTATTAATCTTTATCAACATGACAGGTCAAATGGCATCTCATTTTGATTTATATTTTCAATTATTAGTGAGGTCAGTCATTCTTTCACGTTTGTATATCATGTGTGTATCCTCTTTTGGAAAGTGCCTGATTATATTTTATGCTCTTTTTTTCTCTCATCTTTTTTGAGTCTGTATATTTGCTAATTATTTTTTTAAATAAAACTTAATAGGATTTCGGAGTAACAAGCATTTGGGTTCTACTGGACTATCTGAATTGTCTGCTAATTTAGAGTCAGAGTTCTGTCACTACCAACCATGCAGAAAATCATGTGCTTCAGTGGGGACGGGAGACATTAGATGGACTTTTGCAAATAAATACACAAAAAATGATCACTTCTTTCCACAAACGGTAACAGAAGATGTATTGGAAAAAAGAGATTACTTTTATGAAAGAGAAAGAAAAAAAGGAAGGAAGGAAGGACAGGAAGGGAAGGAAGAAACGAAAAGACAGTCTATTTCTAGATATTCTAATGAAAATTATGTATTGGGGGCTTTATAGGTATTCTAATAAAAGTTTTATAGGTTCTATATAAAGAAAATGTTCAATTCCACTGGGGGATTTAAAAGAATGCTTACATAAATGTAAAGCCATACATTCTTAGAAAATAAAAATGCCAGTTCCTCCCTAATTAGTGAATAAATGAGTAAATTCAGTGGGATCACAGAGTTTCATCAGGATTGGGGGGGTGGGGGTGGGATCCCGGAGAACAGCTGGGAACATCCTGTGGGAATAGACCCTTCCCCTGCAGGATGTTGAAACATGTTTTAAAGCTACAGTAATTAAAACAGTTTGGTTCAGGTGAAGCTGTTGACAGGTTAATGGAATAGAATCGAATTCAGAAATAGACTCACATATGTATAAGCATCTAATTTAGGATAGGGTGTCTCATATCAATGAAGAGAAGAGAGATTTTTCTATAAATAGTAATGGGACAACCAGTTAACTTTTCTGAATTAAAAAAAAAAGGTGGAGCCCCGCCTTACTCCTCATAGCAACCTAAATTTCAGATGCATCAAGAATTTAAGATAAAAAACTGAGACAATAAAAGTTCTAGGAGAAAGCATTGAATTTACTTGTAATCTTGGAATGAAGAATGCCTTTCTGTATTCCGTATCCTGTAATAAACCGTAACGGAAAAGAATATGAAAAAGTATATGTATACATACACATGTATACATGTGTGTACACACATATATGCGTATACACATACATACATATATACACACATAACCGAATTGCTTTTCTGTACACCAGAAGCTAACACAACATTGTAAATCAACTATACTTCAATTAAAAAAAAAAGAATGCCTTTCTAAGCAGTTTGCAGAACTTGGTAGTCATAAGAAAAAGAAGGATTAATTGACTAGATAACATTTAAAACTTCTCTAAGGCAACTTTTTGTCATAAAGTCAAAAGACAAACAACAGACACGTATAACACAAACAACAGACAAAACCTGCTTCTTTAATTTACAAATAGGTAAGTAGACATTGGGACCTACGTATGACCCAATAGAAAAGTGGACAAAAGATAGGAGGTCTTCTAAGAGAAAGAATTCAAATGGCTGGGAAATATGCCTGAGTTCACTCATAATTAAAGAAATACAGATCAAAACAGGAAGGTTACATTTTTGCAGAAATTTTTTAAGTTCAGTAATAAATTGTTTCACACACTGTTGGGGGAAGTTTGCGGTGAAGCCTTTTGGAAGGCAATCTGGAAGCATCAGTCAGAATTTAAAATACACGTATGTACCTTTGATCTAGCAATTACCTTCCTGGGAATTTGCACTACAGGCGAATCATCCAGGTACACCAAGAGGTCAGTGCAAGGATGTTCATTGCCACATTTTCTAATTCTTATTTTATTTATAAATTAATGTATTAATTTGTGTCATTTTATTTATAAAAACGAAAAACTGGAAACAACCTCTACGCCGTATCACTAGAGAAGTGGTTAAATTAGTGGGTCTCAGCTGGGGACCGTCCCCCCGCAACCCCCATCAGGGAACACTTGGCCCTGTCTGGAGTGCCAGCAAGAGTGATCTGGGCCTTGCAGTTAGGACCATTTTTGTTTTCTTCTTGGGGCTTCTCGGTATTTGCTAAATTTTGTGCTCCGTGTGTTTGTGCATTCTTTAAAAAGAGTTTAGATCACCCTCATGTCCAAACAATAGAGAAATAGCTGAGAAAATTGGGAGCCACCCGCAGCGGCGCCCTACGGGCATCGCCCCCGCGACGTAACGTGGACAAATAATCATGCTTTGATGAGACGTAAAAAAAATGGGATTTAACCCCAGTTAAGTAAAAAGGTACTTGGGAAAAAAGATCAGAAGCAATACCTTAAGATACTAACGGGGCCATTACTATTCTATATTTATAATCCTTGTTTCTTCTCCAACTTAAAAAAAAATTTCTTCTCCAAGGCGGTTTTAATTTACGATGGAGAAAACGTGTGTAATTTAGGGGAAAGAGAGAGACTACAAAAGATGAAACACTTTGGTGTCCTTTCTAAATTCAGAAATTTGACCCATGTTTCTTTATTCGGTTTTTGCACTTTTGGGAAAAAACTTTTCTTCTCCTCACAGAAAAACGTCATGGAATTCCTGGCACCCCTGAAACCGGTGGCCATTCGAATAGTGAGAAATGCCCATGGAAACAAAACAGGTAAGGTCTGGGCTGTTTCAAGGGGGCTGGAGAGGCAGATGCTAGAGCTGGAAGGTTGGGGCAGTTGAACTGTGGAGATGTTTGGAGGGCAGCTACTTTTTTTTTCCTATTTGTGGTCCCCACTTTTGTGGATGTGGTGAAAGTGCTCAGGACAGGGATCTGCCTCTTGTCCCCTGCCGCTGGCAGCCTAGTATGAGGTTTTCACTTGCGCAGGCAGGGCCCAGCCCCCAGGCCTGGGGGCTCAGTAATGACTGCGGCCTTCAGCCCAGATGTAGGGGCCCACCGGGGGCTCAAAGCAAGGGGAGGCCGTGATCAGGTTTAGAATGGTCCCCTGGCTGGTGAGGGAAGGGTCCAGGGGCAGGGCCCAAGGACAGGTGGGCTGGGTGGGGGCTTTTGCAGTCCCCCAGGGGAGGGTCTTGTGATAGACACCAAAACCCACGGGCTTTGGCGCAGGTTACGGCACTGCCACGCGTTAGCTGTGTGTCCGTGCGCACGTCACTTAACTCCTCTAGAAAAGTGGGGAGGCGAGGTCTCTCGTGTTTAGGGAAGACTCTACGTGCTCGTCTGTGCAAGTCAGGGCCACGGGCACTGACGGGCAGTCCTGTGGAGGTGGCTCCTTGGTGCCGAGCTGGGTTGCAGCACCGCAACCACAGGCATTTGTCCAGAGAAGGTCAAAGAGCAGGGACTGGGCAGGACAGGGTGAGGCTGGGAGGCAGGCCAAGGCCCTCCGCTGCCTACAAAGGGAAATTTGCCCGGGGGGCATCAGGGATTGTCTGTATTTTGGAGATTGGGCGAAAAGTACAGGTTTCCCACACACACACACTTTCTGCTCAGATTCCCCCAAACACGAAGCGCGGTGTGGGTGTTCCTCCGTGACTCCCATGTTTGTCTGCCGGGCCTGCAGACCTTACCTTTGTCGTGGTCCTTTCACAGGGTACGTCTTTGTGGATTTCAGCAGTGAAGAGGAAGTGAGGAAAGCTCTGAAATGCAACAGGGAATACATGGGTAAGGATGCCGGGCGGTCCCACACCGCGTGGTGGCAGGGGTTCGTTCATTCAGTTGCTCTGTAAGGTTATATTGAGGGCCTGCTGTGTGCCTGCCGGGCACTGCCCTGGGCATGGAGGATACAGCCGTGAGCAGAACAGACCAAAGCCCCCGCCCTCCTGGGGCAGAGATTAGGCTAAGTTTCCTGTAGAGGAAACTGACATCGAGGGGGGAGAGACAGGCGGTAACCAGAGGGGCCGTGCTGTGGACAGATGCAGGAGAGGGCCGGGATTGGAGAAGGCGCATTTTAAACAGGATCGTGTCAGCTTGGGCCACACTAAGCTGGCGACACTGGAACAAAAGCCAGAGGGGTAAAGGGAGCCAGCTCTGGCTTTGTGGGGTGGGGCCGTTCCAGTACAGGGAATAGCAAGTACAAGGAACAGCAAGTACCGGGTCTGGAGCTGGGAGGTCACCTGAACAAGGTAACCAAGGATGTGCTCTTTGGCCTGTCCCTGGTATGGACAGGTGATTCAGGTCTAGCCATTGATCCCTTGTGAAGACACAAATTCTGTTAGGGAAGAGGAGAAACCTAAGCAGTCTTGCTAGCAAGTCAGGTGGTAGGTATTTATTGAGCACCTACTGTGTGCATGTGGAGGTGGTGGTGGTGGTCGTGGTCTAATCAGGTGCCCGGGGCAATGCATGGACACAGTTCAGCAGCAGCACAAGGTGGCTCTTCAGGGTTGGGTTGTCACATGAGATGATTCCCAGGGCAGTGCCAGGGGCCGTGCCCTGGAATTGGGAGGATGCAGCCCCATGGACCAGGCGGCCCAGGCAGGCTCCCCCTTGAGCTAAAGCCGAGCTCGCAGGGTAAATGAGATTGAGGCCTGGCGTTGGCTGGGGCCGCCACCCTGGTTTACAGAGCCTGGTGTCCGGCGCTGTCACCAGCCACCTTCACCATGGCTTCCGGAAGGCAGCAACAGAGTCTGGAAGCTGGCAGGATCCAGGCCTCCCCCGGGCCCCTGACTGCCTCTCCTTGTGCAGGTGGACGCTACATCGAGGTGTTTAGGGAAAAGCACGTCCCCGCAGCCAAGGTGCCCCCAGAGAATAGCGCCAAACCCTGGCAAAGCCGGACACTCGGGGAGCATGAAGAGGAAGAGGACCTGGCCGACTCTGGGAGGCTCTTTGTGCGAAACCTGCCCTACACCAGCTCCGAGGAAGACCTGGAGAAGCTCTTCTCCAAATACGGTAGGGGCATGGCCTCCGGCTCACCACAGGCACCTGCAGCGGGTGGTCTGAGTCCCCATGTGCCTCCTGCAGCTCTTGACCTTGGGCTAATGATGTCCCCCTCTGGCCTCAGTTTTCTCACCCATAAAATGGGCCTCACCATCTCTGAGCTGCTGTGAAGATTCAAACAGTAGGTAGACAGCAGAAGTCGAAGTCCTAGATGGCATCACAGGCACCTTTCGTGGTCTGAACCCAGACTCCCTTAGCTTTCACTCACTAAACTCAGAACTGACGGGGTTTGGGTATAGTTTTCTGAGATGTGCCTGGTACCTGAACCCTTGCTGTGGTCTAGGAAGCCCACTCACCGAGTGTGTTAATATGAAGTGCTCCGCAGTCTGAACTCTGCTGTCTAAATAGTCTTGCTCTCCAGACCGAGCATCTGGATGCGTTTGCTAGTGAGGGCCATTTTCATTGTTGTGGTTGCTAGCATTATTTTGCAGGACACAGACTTGAAGGCCTGTAGTTCACCTTGGCACATGGGGCTGTGCTTGTTTGTAAGGTCGTGGTTGTTGAAGGGAAGGAAGTTAGGGCTCAGAATGGCAGGGCGAGGTCTAGATGCTTTTAAGATCCCCTGGAGCGTCCCCCCGCTTCTCTTTGGAGACCAGTTGTGGGTTGCAGGGGATCCGAGCTCGGTTGAGTGCTTGTCTTCCGGACAAGGAGGCCCTGAGCAGGATTCTGCCATCAGGCAAATTGGTGTCACCTCCTGGCCTGTGTCCTGCTGTCCTGCCGCCAGATCTTCCCGCACAGGCTGGTGCCCTGGTTTACGTGGCAGGGCCAGGCACTGGAGAGGGGGTCGTCAATCGACTCGAAGTATCCATCCGGGAAGATAAAGCCCGGGAAGGAGGACTTGGTCACACCCTGGTGTTCAGAGTGGAAGGTGTGTACTTTAATGTGAGCATCATAATAATATCCCAGCAGACACTTCTGTGGCCCTACGTCACCAGCAGGCACTGTTTAGTACATGACACGTATTGGTGCGTTTAACCCTCCCTGCCGTCCTCCGAGCTGGGTATTCTTAGAGATACCATTTTACAGATAAGAAGCCTGAGGCCCGTAAAACCCTGTGGCTTGCCCGAGGCCACACGTATAGTATGTGATGAAGGAGGGTCCAGGCCAGACACCTCTGCTCTCAGAATAGACACACGAAGGGTTGTGGAAGGACACCCTGACCCATGAGGGGGGTCTTACGGCAGCCCCTTGCCACCTTTTGTCCTGGGCCAAGCGGCGGCAGCAGCTCCACGCTCTCCCTGGTTAAAACCCATCGCTTGACTAGTGCCCAGAATTTTCTCACCCAGCTCTGGCCTGCAGGACACTGACGCCCTTCCTACCCTCAGGTCCCCTGTCTGAGCTGCATTACCCCATCGACAGCCTGACCAAGAAGCCCAAGGGCTTTGCCTTCGTCACCTTCATGTTCCCGGAGCACGCCGTGAAGGCCTACGCTGAAGTGGATGGGCAGGTGTTCCAGGTGATGGCCCACGGGGTGGCGGGCGCCTGCCGGGCCCAGGTGATGGGGAGAGGCTGTGGGTGTGTGTGCGTGCGCGCAGGCACGAAACCGCACCCATGCTTCTAGGGAAGCACGCCTGATGCACGTGAAGCTGCCTCCTGATCCAAGCTGCCTCCACGGGGCAGGGTCTGCTCTGTCCTGTTCACTGATCTATCGTTAGCCCCTAGAGGAGCACCTGGCCCATAGTGGGCCCTTAAAAAGTGTCTGTGGATTAAATGAACATGCTTTCTCAAAATACCACTTGGAAGAGGAAGGAGTAAGGAAAGAGTTTTGACCCAGTCATTGAAATGGCCACAGTAGAATGTAAGAAACGCTTCTTTCTTCCAAATAACGTGCTTAGCACACAAGCCGAAGCCCCAGGCTGCCTCGCCTCCCTTTTCTGTTCGTTCGTTCATTCATTCATTCATGATTTATTGATCCCCTGTGACTGCCGCTGAACCTGGCTCCTGCCCGCGTGGAGCTCACACTCTCACAGGGACAGAGTCGGGTGGGGAGCCCTGCAGGTGTCACTTACAAACCGATCGGCATCCTCTGTGAAGCTTTGTCAGGTGGCCCCCGTCACAAAGTCAGGCCCCTGTGCCACATGGCCAGGCCCCCGTTCTGGGTTCAGGGCGGCCTCGTGGGCATCCTGCCCGAGGCCCCTGTCTTGCGACAAGGATCTCAGTGCTGGGTCCAGCCTCCTCGTGGAGAGGCCGACGTACCCGGGGCAGGATGTAGAAGCGCCTGCCGCCTTCCTGTCTTTACCCCCTTCCCCTCGTCCTCCTCCAGGGCAGGATGCTCCACGTGTTACCATCCACCATCAAGAAGGAGGCCGGCGAGGACGCAGACACCCCAGGATCATCGTCTTACAAGAAGAAGAAAGAGTCAAAAGATAAAGCCAACAGCTCCAGGTCCAAACCTGCCTCTGACCCAGGCTTTGGCTGCCCTCGCCCCTCCTCTCCTAGCTGCCAGGGTACCCTGACTCCTCGTGGTGGCTTTAGCCCCTCATCCATAACTTTGCTGAGCCTCAGTTTCCTCATCTGCAAAATGGGAAGAATCAGTGGTGCCTCACTTTTGTGGTGTCATAAGGATTGAGTCAGTGTAAGCAAAGTGCTTGGTCCCTGGTGCCGAGTGAGCGCTAGACAGACGTTAGGGCTTATTAATATCATCGTGGCTCTTGTTGTCTTCAGGCGCTGGTACTTGGCCCATGCCAAGTAAGATGGGGGAGAGGAGCCTTCGGGGAACTTAGGAAGGCAGGCCCACAAGCTCATTTCTTAACAGGCTTTGCATCTGAAAAAAATTGCCCCCATTCAGCCATGGTCTGACCTCTCTGTTCTGCCTCTGACTCAGCTCTCACAACTGGAACACGCTGTTCATGGGCCCGAATGCAGTGGCCGACGCCATCGCCCAGAAGTACAGCGCCACCAAGAGTCAAGTGTTTGACCATGTGAGTGGGCGCCCTGTCTGATGTGCCCCCGGTTCTGGGCAGGGGAGGGGGTGGGGTCGGGCTGGGGTTGTCCACCAGCTTGTCTTCTGGGGCCTCCCCCATGGAAGCATCCACCCTGCCCTGGCTTCTCGTGGGCGAGTGTGGAGCCACGTGCAGAAAGGAACTGACGATGAGCACTTAGCGTGCGGTGCTCCTCTCGCCCCACTTCCCAGATGAAGAACTGGAGGCCCAGGGACACAAAGGCACTTGCCCAGGGTCACACGCCTGGAAACAGGTGGAGGTGGGGTGACCCAGGTCAACCCAAATCCACTGCCCTCGCTCTGAACCACTCCCCAAAGGTGGTCCCACCCACTTCCTGGGCCCAGCCAGCCCAGGTCTTTGAGATGAACACAGGGTAGGTCGTAGGTCTCTGACCGTCCCCCTCTCCCAAGTCTGACCTTGTTCCTTCCGACCTTCCCCCTCCGTCCATTTGGCTTCTCCGGATCACATACCTTCCTTTAAATGCTGTGTCTCCAGTTAGACTGTGGCCAAGTTCATCTTTGGCAAAACCTGGGAGTGTGTTTTTCAGCCAGCAGGCAAAGGATATCCATAGATTTGGTCCATAAACTTGCTGGCCATCGTCATTTACTGCCCCTGCCCCATGCTGAAGGTCAGCACTGTCCCCCAGAAATAGAATGCGAGCCCCACACAGAATTGTAAATGTCCAAGTGGCCACATTTTTAAAAAGCAAAAAGGAACAGGCAAAGTTAATTTTCAAAGTTAATTTTTCAGAATAGAATCTATCCTATTAATTCGATATGGCCAGGATATTATTAGTTCATTATCCACAGTATAAAAAAATGACAAGCTGTCTTGCACTGCTTTCTTTTCCCTCACTGAGTGTTTACAATTCAGTGCGTGTCTTACACTGGGTTCGGACGCGCCGTGTTTCAGGTGCCCAGTGGCTGAGCTCGTGGGCACCATGTTGGCCGCACAGCTCCGGGCCTCAGCCAGTCGGGAGGAGCTGCAGCTGGTTCAGATCCCACCAGTGCTCTGAGCACTGGGAAGAGAGCAGGGCCCTAAAGGGAAACAGTCCTGCTCTCCTAGAGCCTTCCAGCAGAGGAAGACACTAGCTCATTAGCAAAGGTGCCGCATGTTGGTGTGATGGCTTGAAGAAGGCTTGAGCTGAGTAAGGGGACAGGGCGTGAGAGCGAGGCCGGCTGCTCAGGGGTGCGACATTCTAGCAGAAATTGAATGGAGGGCAGAGGTGAGCGCACAGAAGCCCTCAGGTGGGAATGAACTTGGCATGAGATCCTTACATACGACTGGAGGGGAGGGAGCAGGCGGGAGATGGGGGAGGGGAAGCTGGAGGGGAGGTGTGGGGTTCTTGATTCACCCTGACAGATGCGGAACCCAGAGCCATCAAGCCAGAGTGGGTATCCACAGGGGGAGCACCGCGGGGGCCTTCCGCGGGGTCCGGCTCCGTGCGAGCCTCCTCCTCAGGCTGTTGGGAGATGGGGCAGGTCTGCACGACAGCCAACAGGGCATCTTCCCTTTCCCTCCCGCAGGAGACCAAGGGCAGCGTGGCCGTGCGCGTGGCCCTGGGAGAGACCCAGCTCGTCCAGGAGGTGCGGCGCTTCCTCCTCGACAATGGGGTCAGTCTGGACTCCTTCAGCCAGGTGAGTGCCCGCTGCCCAGCCCAGCGAGCCGCTCAGGGCTCGGCCCCACCCCCACCCCTGGAGAGCTGGGGGTGGAGTCTCACATCAGCAGATGTGTGGATGGGTGGGAGGGTCAGGCCTTTCAAAGATGATTAGCATTAACTTTGCAACTGTCGCTTGATCATCAGCTCAGACTCGTGGCCCAGTGGCCCATCGGACCTGGAGGGTGTCCCTCCGGGGCTGTAAGCAAGAGTTTCTCCACACAGGTTGGGGGGGGGGGCGCCCTAAGCATCCTGTTCCCCGACCTAGCACCTTACTAAGAGCACCTGTTATCTGTTGCGGATCGAGACCTTTCTTGAATCACATAGGGGAAGGTTCCTCCACGTGCTTATTCCTTAGCAGGTAGAAGTTCTTAGGTGTCGGGATGATGAAGTCTCAGAGGGCCTGCTGCGAGCACCTGACACCCTCCCCTTCGTCTTACAGACTGGGAACCTGAGGTCCGGAGAGTGGGGAGGGGACTTAAAGGTCAGACAGTGAGTCTGTGGCAGGGCCTGGGCTCAATCTCAGGGCTTCTGACCCGCAAACTGCTGTTTCCTCAGCCTCACCAAACCTTAAGAGTTTCACCTTAAAAGGACGGTTAGGACGCGACGCACCCAACGCTCACTGCAGCGCTATTTACAGTAGCCAGGAAACGCTCACTGCAGCGCTATTTACAGTAGCCAGCACCCAACGCTCACTGCAGCGCTTTTTACAGTAGCCAGGAAACGCTCACTGCAGTGCTATTTACTGTAGCCAGCACTCCAACGCTCACAGCAGCGCTATTTACAGTAGCCAGCACCCCAGCGCTCACCGCAGCGCTATTTACAGTAGCCAGGACACGGAAGCAGCCCAAGTGTCCATCGACAGTAATGGATAAAGAAGATGTGGTTACACATACACAACGCAATATTACTCAGCCATAAAGAAGAATGAAATAATGCCATTTGCAGCAATATGGATGGACCTAGAGGCTGTCATACTAAGTGAAGTAAGTCAGACAGAGAAAGACAAATATCATATGATATTACTTATGTGTGGAATCTAAAAAAGAAAAAACTTATTTACAAAACAGAAACAGACTCACAGACTTTGAAAACAAACTTGCGGTTACCAAAGGTTAAATGTGAGGGAGAGGGATAAATGGGGAGCTTGGGATCAGCACGCACACATCGCTCTATAAAATAGATCATCGGCAAAGGACCTACTGTGTAGCACAGGGAGCCCCACTCAGTATCCTGTGATAATCTACGTGGGAAAAGAATGTGAAAAAGAATAGGTATATGTATATGTATAAATGAATCACTGCTGAACACCTGAAACTAACACAACACTGTAAATTAACTATACTCCAACGTAAAATAAAATTAAAGAAAAGAGAGAAAGAAAGAAAATTGAGCTGCAGAGGGAAAGCACTTGACCCAAGGTTTCAAATTAGATTGGTGGCCAGGTGGAGACTCATACCCAGATATGCCCTATGCCTGGAATCCTCCCGTTAATTTTTTTTGGCTCTTCTATTCTCCATCCAGCATGTTTTAATAATAATTGCTAATGTTAGCAATTGCTAAGCAGCGTGCTTACGTCAACCCCTTTGATTGACTCTTTTCCTGGGACGACCCATGAAATGGGTGCCGTGTCCTCATGTCAGGTGAGGGGGCTGAATACATTTCAAGTGCATTTCTCAAGGCCGTATATCTGGTGTCTTGGTTTGGGTTCTTCCAAAAGCCAACTGAGACAAAGATGCAAGCGCAAGTAGTTCACTGGACAGAAAACACTGGCGAGAAGGGACAAGGGGAGGGGGGAGACCAGCAAAGGGCATGCTCATCCCAGTGCCCCTGGTAGAACAGTGGGCTGGCACCTTCCCCGGGGGACACCGCCCAACTCGGAGTTGTCCCACCCAAGGGACAGGTGACACACCAACTCCTGAGAGCCATGGGCAGCTCCCACGGGGTGTTAACGTTTCACGTGTGGTGTCAGCCGTTGTGCAGATCCGGAAGTCCCCTAGCACAGAGATGCAGATCCCGGCCCTGGGCTGGAGTGTCCTGGAAGGTCCAGCGAGGGCTGTGGTCGGGCGCTGTCAGAATTTGCCTCGGCTCAGTAGTGGAGGGGCCGGGATTTGACCTGGGGGGTCCAGTTCCAGAGCCCTCTCCCTCATCCACTCCTCGGGGCCGCCTCTCATCCACAGTGTGGCGTGCCCGAGAGGGTGGGGTCTCCTGGACCTGCTTCCTGAGGGCCTGGTACCCGAGGTCACACGTGGCCGCCTGGTCCAGAGTCACCCACCGATCAGTACTGGTGTCGGGGGTCAGTGACCCTCCTTTCCATCGTCCCACGTGAGCTGTCCCCTCCCTGCAGGCCGCCGCTGAGCGAAGCAAGACCGTGATCCTGGTGAAGAACCTCCCAGCCGGCACCCTGGCGGCTGAGCTGCAGGAGACCTTTGGCCGCTTCGGCAGCCTGGGCCGCGTGCTGCTGCCAGAGGGTGGCGTCACGGCCATCGTGGAGTTCCTGGAGCCGCTGGAGGCCCGCAAGGCCTTCCGACACCTGGCCTACTCCAAGGTAGGGCCACCCGAGCCCCGCTTCAGGGAGAGGACGGAGGGAGCTGACGGGCAGACAGTCTTGGCATAGACCTGGCACGTGCGAGCACTTGCTGGAAACCAGCCACGTCTGTCGGGATTGTGAATGTCATCCCACCCCTGGGAGCACCTCTGGACGGGGCAGTGTGAGGGACAGGCTCGAAACATCCTCTGGAAAGCCTGCCTCAGTTCCCTGCCGATTCTGGCTTTCCTCAGCTTTCTATTCCCCCATGACTTTGAACCATCATCCTCGACGCTTTCGATATCTTATACCTACAATTAGTTGAAAGTCAATTCTGTAGGTGGGCTACCTCCTGATTTTTGGTCATAAGGAAGAAAAAGTTACACGTGTTAGTGTATTCCTTTCTGTGGCTGCCATAACAGGTTACTACCAATTTCGTGGCTTAAAAGTAGAGAAATGTATTCTCTCACAGTTCTGGGAGTCTGAAGTCTAAAATCAAGGTGTCCAAGGGCCATTCTCCCTTCAAAGGCTCTTGTGGGTGGGGGGAGGGATCTTTCCTTGCCTCTTCCGGTGCCTGGTGGCTCCAGGTGTCCCTTGGCTTGTGGCCGCATCACTCCAGTCTCTGCGTCTGTCCACATGGCCTTCTTTTCTCCATCTCAAATCTTCCCTCTGCTTTTCTCTTACATGGACACTTGTCACTGGATTTAGGGCCCACCCAGGTAATCCAGAATGATCCCATCTCAGGATCTTTTATTTAATGACATTTGAGGAGACCTTTTTTCCAAATAAGGCCACATTCATAGCTTCTGGGAGTTGGGACGTGGACATATCATTTGAGGGGCCACCATTCAGCCCACTGCAAGTAGCTTCTCTTTATCGAGGACTTTAATGCTTTGCTGACTGTTTGTCAGTGTCTTGTTTATCCTTTTAAAAAAACCTCTCTGCATGTATGTATGTGTATACTCACTGCCTGTGAATGTACGTATATTGGAGGGAGAGAAAGCATGGTTGGTGTCCGGCGGCCCTGTTGCACTTCCTCCAGGAGGGCTGCCCTGTATCAGTGATTCTGCTCCCCCGTCCCACTCCCTGTTCACACTCTTGATTAGAGAAAGCACCGGGGGATGCAGACGTATTCAACGACAGCAGATGCTCCAGCCTCTCACCAGAACCCTGAGCTGCAGCAAGGGGATCAGGCAGCACACAGAGTTCTGTGCTCTGAGCCTCAGGCTCTTCGTCTGTGTCGTGGACTGAGTCCCTCCCCCGCCGCTGTCTCTGCAGTTTCACCACGTCCCCCTGTATCTGGAGTGGGCTCCGGTGGGCATCTTTTCCAGCCCAGCCCCACAGAAGAAAGAACTCCGAGATGCACCAGCAGAGCTGGCCGGAAAGGACAGGATGGAGCCAGAAACAGGTAAGAGCTGGGTCTGAGATCAGGATGTCCTGGGGCAGCAGGCAGGGGAAGGACAGAGGGCTAGGGGACAGCACTAAATTTTTTATCAAAGTTCTGTATTCATCCTGAGACTGGTGGGTCCCCGTCTCTTGAATTTTATAGGCACTAAAACGTCCTTAAAAAAAATAGAGCATAAAATTTCTGGATACAGCATAAGGTAGCCGACTATCTTGGCTTATCAAGTATAGGTTGTGAAAGGAAAAATTTAAAAACCCACTAGAATCTGTTAACAGGGATTCGGAACAGAGCAAGAGAAAATAGCCTTCTGGGTTGTATTGATACATCCGCCAGGATGAATGAGCAGGACTGTTGGAGATGTTTATTCTCCCGGGTCCCTGGGATGTTATGGCGCCCTCTGGTGCCCAGTGACTGCAAAGGCAGGAAAAGGAAGGGAGGCAGGAGCCCAACCCTCAGCTGATGCTTCACACTCGGGTGAGGAGGGGGCGCTCCTGGCACTCAGGGCATCGCAGTTCTTCCCTGTCGGGACTGTTCTGCAAATTGTAAGACATTTTGCTGACCCTGCCCACTGAATGTCAGGAGTGCCCCTGTAATTGTGACGATCTAAGATACCCCTTCCCTGTATGCCAGATGCCCTCTAGGAGGCAGTGCAGCCATCAACTGAGAACCACTTAGGGGACCATGACTCCATCCTAGAAGCAAAGACCTTTAGAAAAGCTTTGAAGAACACCCTTACCCAGACATTAAGATCTTGCCCATCAGTAATATCCCTCCTCCGTACCTCCTTCTTAGCGTAGGGTTGCCGGTTGATTAAAATAAGGATTAAAAGAAATACATCTCCCGTATACCCTCTCCATTGTCCTCATAAAAGAATGGGGGTGGGAATGCGGAATTCTCAGGTTAAAGAACAGTCCTTTAACTGAATAGACCTCCCTGTCCATAAACCTTCCTAGGCTGTCTGCATTTCCCAGTTCATCTTGGATCGGTAAAACCTCCTTCAGGACTGGCCCAAGTCACTACAAGGCATTTGAGAACCCCTGGTCTAGAAGCCTTGTTTCAGTCAGGAAGGAAAATCCTTCCGTCTCTGCTTTCTGAGGCCCCCGAAAGCATCCCTTAGCCATTGGGGTTACCTACTGACCATTGATATAAACCTTTCAGTAGCCCCTGTTGATGAGTTATTTTTGTCCACAGATTGGATTAGCGTTCTCTTCCACCGTGCTTATGCTTCCATCAAAAAGAGTTCTCTTTATATAGCCACGGTTTCTTCTTACCTAGCCATCACCCCCAAATTATCAGCGACCTTGGTTTCAACTTCACTTACTAAACTTGGACATGACTAATGTTTTTCGGCCAAAAGCAAGTCCTCCTTTAAAGCACAGATTTGCCAGGAGCGAGGGCCCTGGAAACAGATCCAGCAGAGGCCTCTCCTAGCTTTGGCGGGACCACTAAGTATGGCGCCTCCCCGGGGGGCTGCTGCCCTGTGGCCACACTCTTTTGCAGGTGTCCCGGTGCTTCCCTCCCTTCTCTCTGTTGTTTTCTTCTGTGACACTCGTCACAGTTTGTGTTTATCCTGTTTATTAGTTTGTTTTACTTGTTTAACATCCGTCGCTGCCAGACAGTGAACCACGAGGGCAGGGAGTGGCCGTCTTGCTCACTGCTGGGCACAAGCATCCCGTAGGGCCCCGGGCATGGGGTAGCTCAGGAATGTGAGTTGAGGGAGTGAAGGAATGCAGGAAGAAGGGTTTCTGTGCCTCTCTGTCTCTCTTTACCTGTGAAGAGTAGGGCTGGGCCATCCTCGTCCTCGTGTCCCAAGCCCCGGCACATAGCAGAGCTTGGTGACATTGGCACGTTTGTTCTCCATCGTTAGTTAAGCATCAGAATGTGGCGCCATCCATCACATAATCGCCATGGCTCCCTTCATGGGTACTGATTTATACCCAGCCCCTCCCCTCACCCTTAACTTTGTTTTAAAGGCTTATTGCTTCCCAGAAGTGTGTCATTATGGGTTCCCTTCCTCAGTGTCTGTCTGTCTGACTCCCTCACTAGACGTCCATCCCCCAGGGCGGGTACCTCGTCTGCTTGTGCACTGCTGTGCCCCGGCACCCAGGAAGGTGCCCAGCGTCTGGTGGGAGAGCAGTCAGTAGGTGCCGAGCGAATCCACAGGCAAAAGCAGCATTTCCTCCATGCCCGGCCCTGCACTAAGCACTTTGGGTCCTCCGTACGTGAGGCTTACAGCTCCCGGGGAAGTCACTGTCTTCCTTGTCCTCTCCTAGCCCAGTGACTGGGCAAGCCACCAGCCTTCTCCGAGGCTGTTTCTGCATCTGTAAAATAGGCAGAAGGCCTTTGTGAGAGTTCAGTGAGAAGCCGCCCGAGTCACCATTTCTCTGATCCTCGTCCTAATTCAGCAACATAAGGTGAAGTGGATGGTCTCTAACTCAGCCCTGAGCACCAGCTGGATGCCAGCCACTGAGCTGGGGCGACCAAGATGGGCCCAACACACACCGCTTCCCCAGAAGCTCCTGGGCGGCTAGGAGGACGGGTGGGGCTGTTCGGGGGTAGCTGAGATGTCACAGTAATAGAAGTGGGCCCTGGGTGCAGAATGTTCTGGAGCACAGCGAGGGGAGGCTTTGCAGAGATAGCGTGCCCTGGTCGGAAGGTAGAGGGCTGCCCCTGCCTGCCCCCAGCGTCCCCTGGGTGCCTGGGCCTAGGTTCCGGTATTGAGAGCATCCCAGACAGACTGTCCCCAACAGGCCCTGCCTCTTAGGGGGCTGCTGTCCAGGGTCCTGCCGCCCCTCACACAAAGGAGGCCTCGGATCTAGGAGGAGGGAGCCAGTAGTTGCAGCAAATAGATCAGATGGGGGCCAAGAAGCCGTGCACGCCTGTGCTGATTTCACACCCCGCTGAGTCCTGTGTCGTCAGGCGGATCCCCGCAGAGCTCATCTCCCGAGCCTCCTTTTGCCCTTTTTTGTTCCTTTTCTTACCTGTATCACATACATGGTCCCCTCCCTGGTCCCTGAGCTGTTCCTTTTCACCTGCTGCTCCCCCACGCCCGCCCCTCTGCACACGGTTCCTCAAGCTTCCCCATTTCCCCATTCCCAGTGCCGGGACCAGCCCGGCCCCCAAGCCCTGGATTTTCTCAGGCTCCGCAGGAAGGCAGCAGGAGGGGAGTGGACAGAGAGGGTTGTTTTGTTCACCAGCCCCCCCGCCCCACACACACACCTTTCTTTTCGACAAAGCCCTCCGTTCCCTGTACCGTTCTCGAGGGAGGGGGACAGTGTGTTTTATCTCCCCACAACCAAGACCCTCACCTCCAGATAAAGGGCTCCAAGTCGGGGGAGGTCCTGAAAAGCTGCTTGCAACTGATAACAGTCTCTGCTGTCAGCCTTCGCGCAGAGAGCCGGAGCCGGGAGGGAGCGACCGTAAATTCTGCGGCCTGATTATAATAAAGCCCCATGTGGTGATGCGTGACTGGATTTTATTGTGCCAACTACAGATGGACGGTATTCCCCGCTGCCTCTCCCAGCCCCCTCCAGCCCACCTTGCTTTCCGAGCCTTCCTCGCACCCTCACCCCGCCCCCGCCCCCACCCCCATCCTGCGCTTCTCCCCTTTTTCCTTGCTCGTCTTCCTGTCATCACCCCACTTGAGGCCAGGGGCAGAAGCGCTTTTCTTTCTCTTTTTTTAAAAAATTTATTTATTTTCTTTATATTATTTTTGGCTGCGTTGGGTCTTCGTTGCTGTGTGCGGGCTTTCTCTAGTTGTAGCGAGCGGGGCCTACTCTTCGTTGCGGTGCGTGGGCTTCTCATTGCGGTGGCTTCTCTTGCTGTGGAGCACGGGCTCTAGGCGTGTGGGTTTCAGTAGTTGTGGCACGTGGGCTCAGTAGTTGTGGCTTGCAGGCTCTAGAGCGCAGGCTCAGTAGTTCTGGCTCACGGGCTTAGTTGCTCCACAGCACGTGGGATCTTCCCGGACCAGGGCTCGAACCCATGTCCCCTGCATTGGCAGGCGGATTCTTAACCACTGTGCCACCAGGGAAGCCTGGCAGAAAAGCACTTTTAACAGTGACCTTTGGCTTCATCCTTGGCCCTTGGCCGTTTCCACACCTCTCTGGACATGGGCATGGGTCGTAGCGGGGCCTGGCCACTTGAGTGGGGCAGAAGCTCTTCCCAGGGATGTGGCCGACAGAGACAGAGTCCCCTGCACTCAGACCTGCGGCGCTGGCTGTTCTTCTCAAAAGCCTGCAGCCAGCTGGCCTGCCTCTTCTGGCAGTGGGCCTGCGGAGGTAGGGATTCCTGACATTTTCCCCTGGCCCAGACACTGTTTTATCTGGGTTTCTGTGCATTAATTCTCATAATTGTCTTGCAACTGGACCCTGTGATTGTCTTTCTCCTTTTTTGAATGGAAAGAAGGAAGCATAGGGAGGTTGAGTGACTTATGCAGAGTCACACATCTGGAAAGAGCTGGGCTGTGCCCAGAGCCACCAGCTCCCAGGTCTGTGCTCTTAACTGTGACCCCACAGCTCCTGTCGGTCACACTAAGTGCCATTTATGTAGCAAATCATCATCCACTGATATTTTTGGAGAATCTTCTCTGGGCCCGGTGCTGGGGATGCAGAGGTTACTGAGTCAGATGTGGTCCCGTCCTCAGAGAGCTCCCCTTGTAGTTGGGGGACACGGAGAAGTGAACCGATAAGGTGATTTCAGAAAGGGGTAAGGCCTCTGAAGGAAAGGTACCCAGGGGACTCTGATGGCAAGTGGCCAGGCCTGTGCTGGGGACAACTGCACAGGAGGAGCTCTGAGGGGAGGACGTTTGAGCTGAGACCTGACGAGAAGCCAGGCCTGGGAAAATGGGATGAGCAAAACAGGCAGAGGAGACGGATGGCAAGTGCAAAGGCCCTGTGGCAGGGATGGGTTTTGGCAGGCTCAGAGGTCAGAATAGAGGCTGGTGCAGCTGGAATGGAGAAGGTGAGGAGACAGAATGGGAGAAGCTGGCAGGCCAGGGACAGGTGCCGACGGGAGACCAGTGAGGAGAACACCCAGTCATCCACACAAGAGGCAACGGTGCCCTGGACCGGGGACCCAGCGTGCGGATGGAGTAGCAGACATTCAAATTTCCAAAGAAGCCAGCAGAGAAAAGGGGAGTGAGTGAGTGAGTGAGTGAGTGAGTGAGTGTGTGTGTGTGTGTGTGTGTGTGTGTAGCTCCATTTTCCAGGTGACAGTGCTAAGGCAGCGTGGGTAAGCCAGTCACCCAGGGCACACAGCTAGTGAGTGGCATCACGGGGACCCTGACCCAGACCACTCTCACTTCAAAGGCCGTGCGCTTTCACAGCTCTGCGCTGCCTCCTGACTGCGGTCTCTGGGCCCCCTTCTCGTTTTCTTCAGGCCCCCTTTTTTCAACACATCTCGAGACTGGGATGCCCTTGTCTTGTTAGCTCTTCCAGCATCCCAGGGGGAGTCACAGATTGGGGGAGGTGGTGGCTGGGTACACAAAGGTTTGGAGAAACAACGGACATCTCTGTGCTGTTGGAGCAAAGCCAGGCTGCATTTAATTGTGTCTTTTATTTCAAGCTGGATGTTCTCCCGGATGTTGGGGGTCAAGAGCGTTGGCTGACTTAGTAGAAGTGGGAGGAGCCAGGCCAGCTGCACACCTGGGTAGGTGATAGGTCCTGGCCATCCTCGCAGTCCTCTCTTGTTCCCCCTGGGCTGGGACTGAGGGCAGCTCACCCACCGGGGAAGGGATCTGTCTGTTCCTGGGGTGTCAACCCTGACTGCAAGCTCATCTCAGCTCTGTCACGAAATCCAAACATCACACTTCCTGGGCAGGGGCCTGTGACCTTTGAAATAAGTGCTTTGAAGCAGACCAGCCCTTGCTCCTGGGGCAGGGAGGCAGGAAGGAGTGGACTCTGGCCCTGCTCACAGCCCCTGGGCTCCCCAGAGCTGTTGCCCTTGTGAGGCTTCAAATCCCTGGAATGCCACGCTGGGAACTGGCTGGATTCCAGGCCCTTGGGAGAGGCAGAGGGAAGGGTCATTGGGCTTTGCCAGGCTGGAAGTGGGGAGCAGAGCACAAAGGCCCATAATCTGGTTTAAATCAATCTGTTGACCACTGCCTAGTACAGAAGCCACATGCCGCTGAGTTAGTTGCCAAGAGTTTTAAAATGTGGGTTTTCCCATGAAAAGCTGGATTTTCAGCTTCTTGTGAAAGCTCTGAACACCTGGCCACACTTGGGCTGATCTGTCCTTGTGACAGCAATTGGCCGGTGCCGCGAACGGGCTGCCCCTTAAACCGGCACGGCGCTCTCCCAGTCACCATCATCCCCCCCATTCTTTTCTCTACAAAAAAAATTTTTTCAGTCTCCCATGAACCTCTCTTCCAACCTGAAGATGCCTGAGGTTTAGAGTTCAGATGCAGCGAACTCCAGAACTTTCCATGGACCACCGGTTTACTGGGATGCAGCTGCTGTGCTCGGCGGTGAGATAGCATCCTCGCAGGCCTAGCCCAGTACCCACACGCAGTGGGGCATCTGATTGGCACCCCTTCCTCTCTCCTTTCATCTCCGAGACACGTCAGACGTGAGGCGAGCCAGTGGGGTGGGTGTCCTTCACCGCTGAGGGGCGTGGTCTTCCTTTCCATTGAAGTTCTCGTTCACAGCCTGGAATTTTAGCCTGTCTGCTTAGCTTTGCTTCCCCACGATTAGTAATGCTTTTTCTACCCTGCTTTGCTTTGAAAGTTGGGTTTTGAGGACAAATGGCCACACCATGGAGTCCCCTGTTGGGTAAATTGCGTTAGTTTCTTGGGTGGGGGAAGGAGCCTTTATGTAGATTTCTTATTTTTTGTCCTGGAGCGAGAGTCTGGATTCTGGGTTCACCTCCGACAGAGTGTGAAGGGCGAAGGCTGCCCGTTCAACTGATGTGAAACGGGCAACATCCTCACTGTCGCTCTTTCCATTAGGGCTTGAAAGGGCTGTTTTATGACAAAGCGGTTGAAGTTCAGTGAGGACTGGCCAGCAGTAGGCTTGCAGCAGAAAGGGCCGGGGGCGACGTAGAGGGCTCTCGTGCTCGGCGTGAGAGCATGGGGGACGGGTTTGAAGCCCCGGAAGCTCCCTTGGCCTTGAACTACTTGCATGCAAGTGGGCACGAGAGAATGGAGTGTCCCCGTCCGCTGCAGGTTGGCGTGTGCAGGGCTCAGACCTGAGGGGAGGGTCGGGGCCACATGCTCAGAACCATGAGGGTGGGAGCGAGCAGGCATCTTGGAGAATGGCTGAGATGGGGTTTGATTTCCCTAGGGGCTACGGGAGGAGCTTCCGGAGCTTGAACGTGGGGGAAAAGATGATTGTCCCCAGGCCCCGATCATGTGAAAAACTGGGGAGGTTGACCCAAACGGAACACATTTTTCCAGCAGCGGAACTTCTCAAGAGGTCACGACGCCACCTCCAACCTCGTGAGGCTTCCGGCACCCTCGGGTGACATCCATGTTCTCCACCAGGGCTCCATCCTGAGCTGCGGCCACACGCCCGCCCTGCTGACTCACAACCTCACAATTACCCTTCCCTCCTCCTGCAATGCTGTTCCTTCAGAATAGGCGTGTCACAGGGGTGGGAGTGACAGGATGGAGCCCTTTGTAATGACAGTCTCCAGAAATAACCAGGAGCGCATTATTTTCTCTTCTTGCGTACGTGTCTCGTAAGCTCTGGGTACAGAACGTGATTGGGGTCACGTTGTATGTTGTTTTGCACCTTCATTTTTCTCTTAATTTTTCTGTCATGAGCATCGTTCCACGTCTTTAAACATTCTTCGGAAACGTCATCTTTAACTACGTGTTAGTCTAGCCTTTGGTGGCAGTATAACTCTCCAGATCTCTTGTTTGTGAATATAGTGGGTTTTTGTGTTTTTTTGAGTTTTTTGCTGTTACGTGTAACTCTGAATTGAATATATTTTGTGTAGATGAAAACATGCTCCTATGTGTGTGCTTCCTGAAGTTATGTATGTTGGGGATTTTAAATGAACGTAACATCCCTTAGGTTCAAGGGATATTTAGGACGTTCGGAGTTTTGCTCGCATTCTGTAATTTTTGCAGTTTTACATTGCATTTTATTTTGAAAGTTCGCCAAGTGCTGGTTTTTGAGAAAAAGACCACGTCACTTACATTTGCAGCTCACAGTAATTTATCTTGAGGTTCAAATTATATGGGTTATATAATGTGGGTCAGTCTAAGTTAAGGCTCCTGGGTTTTGGTCTGTGCTTCATACTCTTTTCTCTTTAAAACAGAGGCAGGAATCACAGCGGTCTCTCCCCTCCCTCAGCCCACCCCCCAAGAGTTGCTAAAACCCAGCACAACCTATCCCTTCCTGACGCTGCCCACTCGTAGACAGAACCCCCTGGGTCTGGCAGGTTCTGTGCTTTAGGTCCTGGGGCTTAGGCAGATAAGGCATCATTTAACAGATTTGTTTTGGTGGCGGGGTAGGGGGGCCCCATGCAGACGGCGAGACCCCAGAAGGTGAAAAGCTGACAGAGGGAGCAGCACACGACACTTCAGCAAAGGTGGAGGAGGAAGAGAATGAGGAGAGCCTTCCCGGGTGCACACTGTTTATCAAAAATCTCCACTTCGACACGACTGAGGAGACGCTGAAGGGGGTGAGTGACCGCTCGGCCCGGAGGGAGCGGGCGAGGGTGGGCGGGGCGGGAGACCCAGTCTGCTGATGTGGTCACTGTGTTTATCCTGCCTGGACGAGTGACTCGTGGCAGCGTGTAGATTAACAGCCAACAGCCACTGCATTGACACCTCCACCGAGCTGTCCAGTAGACATCTCATCCGGCGATCGGAGCCCTGGCCAGACCAGTCTGGGGGCTGGCAGGGGCGCCCGCATGCACTTGAAGGGGACCTGTTGGGATGCGGTGTGAGAGCTGTAGTCAGAAAACGAAGCCCCTCCCCAGATGGTGTCTGCGAGGGTAACCACCCAAAATTAAACGCCAGCACACCCTCCTGGCCTGGTGGGAACACACAGAAGACGCAGCACTGAGTGAATCTGGAGGAGGGGCAGTCCTGCCTGGAGTCCCTGATGGGCTGAGAGTTTTGCATTCATAGGAAGGGGGCGGAGGGGAAAAGGATGGGGAACTCCAACTACGCATTGGGAAAATGCCAAATGATAGGCGCTGGGGGGCTTCTAGAAGGAATTGGGCCAGAGATCTGGAAATGGGGATTCTAGTGCCAAAGGACTGGGGTCTACGAGCTCCCCCACTGGACTGAGAGCTGTCCATGGGGAGAGTCTCCACTTCCGTAAACTGGGTTTGGCACAGAATAAATGCTCGATGCCTTTTTTTTTTTTTTAATGCATGAATTGGTGATTAGCAGCCTGACAGCCGTTAACTGATTCTGGAAAGGAAGAAGACTGTGAGGATTGAACCGATTGGTTTCTGCAAATTCTTTTGAGGGCTGAAATCCTAGAGCTGGATTCAAGAGGGGAGACGGGGTCCACTGAGTCCTAGAGGCAGGAAGGTGGTGGATGGGTGGAAAGGAGACCAGCCTGCATTGGGCGGGAAAGCCCCAGGGTGTCAAGGTGAAGCAGGAGATCAGAGCCCTGCACGCTGGGACCCTCTGGCTAAATCTCCAATGTGACTGTCACTTGCCAGTTAGAAAAGCCACCACGGCAGCAGAGGTGCCTGGCAAAAGCAGCAGCATTTCAAGAGCAGAGGTTCGCCCTCTGGGGCAATGGGAAACCCACCCTCGGACTTTTCCTGGGCCACTTCCGAATCCGTTTTGGTCTGGTTTGAGTTTGCTTGACAAACAGGCACACGCTAGTAGTGCCCAAAGGCTAGATAGCTTTGAAGAGGTCAAACCAGCTTGCAGAGGGTTTGTTTTTTATTTCTGCTGTGCTGGCCCCCCTGTATCCGGTATGGGGATGTCGTCAACGGGAACCATTTTTTTCCTGGAAGATGTGCCCAAGCTTCAGCCTAAGAGCATCCTTGGAATTAAAGAACTCTGGAGCTGGAAGGTACAGCCAAGATGGTCTAGTCCAGGTTCTTCATATTACAGATGTGGAGACTGAGGTTCAGAGAGGTCAGTTCACTGACCTAGGGTCACACAGCCCATTCTAGGCACTGTGGGGAGCAGCGTCCAGCTCACAGGGCTCCTGTTAACAGCATCCTGAGTGGAGAGTTATGCTTAAGGGTCAGTCTGCCTGGGCTTGGGTCCCAGCCTCACTCCTTACTAACAGTGTGACCCTGGGCTGGTCCTTTGGCCTTTCTGTGCCTCAGTTTCCCCATTTGTAAAAAGGGGGTGCTAATAGAATCTTCTGTGGAGCTGTTGGGAAGATCTGATTAGAATGAATGAGATAATTCAAGTAAAGTGTTTGACAGTCGGAATAAGAGAGTCAGTGAATGTCAGCTGCGTGCGGTTCTTGTTTGCTGGTCCGGATCCCCCCTCCCCTCTGCTTACCCTTCACTCAGTCGGTGAACAGTGACCCGCACCTGCCTCTCCCTGGGCCCTGTGTGTGCTGTGGAAGACACCGCAGTGATCCAGAAGGACAGGAATTCGCACTGGTCAATTCTCAAATTCTAGCAAGAGAGACAAAAAAAGTAAAGGGAAAAATAGAGCAGAATGTGATTTTTGAAAGTTTTAAACATTAGTTGGCGTTAGGTGCAGGGGCAGTGAGAGGGTCAGGACTGGGGTCAGTGAATTCCAAGCTTCTAAATGTAGGCCCAGCTTCCCCACTGCATGGCCCTTGGTGATTCCCTGGACTGTTCAGTGTCCCAGGTCCTTCTTGGACACTGGGAGCCAGGACCCAGCCCAGCGGCCCTTACGGGGAGCCCTAAGGGACCGTCCAAGCTACTTAAAGTAGGCCATGATCCAGTGCCTCCAGGTATTTTTGGGACCCCTGAGATGATATTAGGGCAAATTTGGGGAGCCTAGTGTCTGACCAGGACCCCCACCTGCACGGCGTTTAGAACCTGGGCTCTGGCACCTGGATCCAACTATCAGCTCCGGGGCTTCCCAGCTCTGTGACGCTGGGTGCATCTCTAACCCCTTGGAGCCTCAGTTTTGTCGTCTGCAAAATGTGGGTAGTGACACCTACCTGGGAGAATCACTGCAAGGGCTGGATGAGTTCATGCGGGCAGAGGGCTTGGGCCAGCGCCCGGCCACGGAAGCGCATCCAGGGGTTAGCTCTTCTCTTACCCTCGCCCTCTCCATGCCTGCAGTTGCCTGGTCCCCTCTGTCTTTCAGGACACGCCGACACCAGGTTGCGGGGTTAGCCCAGAAATTCTGATAATACATGTCGACATTCTCTTCCAGGTGTTTTCCAAAGTGGGTGTGGTGAAGAGCTGCTCCATTTCCAAGAAGCAGAACAAAGCAGGTATTTCACAGGAGATCTCAGTCAGAAAGGAACAATTCTGAAAGAAACAGTGTTGCTCTGGGTGGGGTAAGGGTACCTCTCTCTTGCTTATTCTGAGGGTCTTCTTTCATTCTGAAGCATTGGCAGCCCCACGCTCTCTTGTTTGGCTCATCTAAAAGGGTCCTTCTTTCTGGGTCCCTGGAGACTCCTGGTTTCCGGTGGGAGCAGCCATGCATGTCAGATTCTTCTGAATCTAGACCCTTTGCCACCCTGGACTGTCGGGTGTTTTCAGAGCAGTGTGATTAGAGGGCTGGCAGGGTTGACAGTGTTCAGTGGCAGAAGACTCTCCCTGCTCCCAGCATCTCTGGAAATCTTCAGGGAAGAGCGAGAACAGACCCGTCTTGGGCTTTCCCTCTTCCCTTCTAAGAGAAATGACCAGATGTAGAACATCCGGAACACTCCACTGAGTCACCAGCCATGCACCTCACTGGCCCCTGGGTGCCTGGGCCACGCAGACCCCACCCTCGTCTCTCCTGTCAGCCTCAGGCGTTGCCGCACGTCCCTTGGCGTCTCTGTTTCTTCTCCAGCCCTGGCTTCCTGCAGGTGATAGACAGGCCATTGTTCCTTGCTTTCTCATAGCTGTGCGGTCCCCATCCCGTCAACTTGGCAGGATTTGTAGGGATGCCACGTGGGCTGTCCCATGGCTGTGTCCTGAGAGACTAATGAGCTAGTGGTTACAGCACAGAGCAACAAGGGGTCTGGTAGAGGGGACCCTGGCTGGACAGGAGCCCAGGCCAGGGGTCTCCACGTCAGACCGCGACTTGGAGGGTAGGGAGGCAGAGCAGTCAGCTGGTGGGAGCGGGGTGTGGGTGACGGAGGCGGGAGAGGGTGTAGTAGCAGGCCGGCAATGTATTGAAGAGGCAGAAGACGCACCTAGAAAGGTAGGCTGATTCCAGATCACAGAATGGCTTTCTGCCAGGCAGAGGAGTCTGGGCTTTTTGCCAGAGGAGCCTTGGAGGGTCTGAAGCAGACGGGTGGCATAGAATTTGGGGAGTTCCTTGTATTCGTTTGCTAGGGGTGCCATAATAAAGCACCACAAACTAGGTGGCTTCCACCACAGAAGTTTATTACCCCACAGTTCTGGGAGCCAGAAGTCCAAGATCAAGGTGTGGGCAGGGTTGGCTCGTTCTGAGTGCTTGTGAGGGAAGGATCTGTTCCAGCCTCTCTCCTTGGCTTGTAAGTGATTGTCTTCATGTTCACATGGCATTCTCCTGTGTGCACCTGTCCTGTGTTCAGAGTTCACCACCACCCCTTTCCTTTTCTTTTTTTTTTCAATACACGGGCCTCTCACTGTTGTGGCCTCTCCCGTTGCGGACCACAGGCTCCAGACGCGTAGGCTCAGCGGCCATGGCTCACGGCCCCAGCCGCTCTGCGGCATGTGGGATCTTCCCGGACCGGGGCACGAACCCGTGTCCCCTGCATCGGCAGGCGGACTCTCAACCACTGCGCCACCAGGGAAGCCCACCCCTTTTCTTTTTTATAAGAATACCGATCATATTGGATTAGCGCTTAGCCTCATGACCTCATTTTTGCCTTGATTACCTCTGTAGAGGATCTATCTCCAAATACGGTCACATTCTGAGATGTGAGGGTTAGGACTTTAATGCACACTGGGGGGCTGGGCACAGTTCAAACCATAACATCCCTGTTCACGGGACCGCAGATGTAGTTTGGGCTACAAGGAAAGGCAGCTGAGCACCGAGTGAACCACATGAAGGCTCAGTTAGGGGGGCGCTGGGGATGGAGTTCAGGAAAAGAGGTGACCCCTGAAGTCTGGGGGGTGAGACAGGCTGGCAGAGGGGTCGCCAGCTCCATCCAGGGCTGTCCCTGCAGGTTGTAGTGTCACCGTGCCCCTCTCTGCGATCAGACGCTCTGTGGAGCCTCTGCCCCTCAGCCCTCGGGAGCGCTCTTCAGCGTGCTTTAGAACAGTTCTGATCTTTCAGTGTCATGAGCAGCTCTTGAAAGCTACACTGTCTTTTTTAAGAGCCTGTATTTGAGAGCCCTGCTCTCTGGAGCTCATCCATCACAGCTTGGGGGGGAATCTAGATGGTGTATGTTATCAGCGAGGGTCTCAG